GCGCGGGGGCGGTCTGAGCCGCTTCACTTCACGGTTGGCTGATATTGATCGTCGGAGTGTCTTTCGGACCGCCACTTGACAGTGTAGGCAGACTGGATTCCAGAGTCTGTTTGTGGGCTGTGCCGTGGCGTGGCGTGGCGTGGCTTGCCGTGCTGTGCCGTGCACGCAACGATGAGTCCTCGCGCAGCAATCAATTAGCTGCTAATCAGTGGGCCAGACGGCTAGGCAGTGCTAGGCAGGGCCAGTAGACTGATTCAGAGAGTCGTTTCGTCGCTCCGTCTCTCTCGCACCTATGCAGGTTGCCCCATGAGTGCGGGAGAGACAGAGCGATGAAAACGACTCTCTGAATCAGTTTGCACGCAGGGCAGGGTAATCGTGCACTACAAACCTAACTGTCTACTAAGTGCACACTTACAAATGCATGCTTGCAAGTACACACTTACAATGCTTACACATGCTTGACGCATGGAGTTATACGGCGTCAAGCATGCGTTTGTAAGTGTGTACTTACAATCATGAATTTGTAAGTGTGTACTTAGTAGACAGTTAGGTTTGTAGTGTAGGCGCGTCCCGTGGGGCCGGCACTGTGAAAATTGGGAATTAGGAAGATTTGCGGCGGGCGGCGGACATCGATGCCTCGTCCCTTTCCACCCTTTCCCGGTCCCCGTCCCGTCGCGGAGGCAGCGAGGCAGCGAGGCAGCGAGGCAGCGAGGCAGCGAGGCAGCGAGGCAGCGAGGCAGCGAGGCAGCGAGGCAGCGCGTCTCCGGCGGCCGAGTCCCTTCCGCGGTGCCTTCCTTGTCTCTCTTGCCTCGTTCGGCGTGCCTCGGCTGCCTCGGCCGGGAGAGCGGATTACAGAGACACTCGCCGAGCCAATGTGCAGTGTACACACCGAGCTTCCGCTTCGGCCCGTTCCGTTCTCCGTTCTCGCTCGGAAGCTCTCCGAGTCTCTCCGCCTCTGCCTCTGCGCACGGCGGCACGGCGGCGGCGCGGAGAGCGCCCGGCGCATAGGCACCCCGGCGGACGGGCGTGCCGAGCGCTGCGACCGGCGGCCTACCCGCCGGGCGCTCCGCTCCACCACCCGCCCCGCTGGCGAGCGATTCAGAAGAGCGCTTCGTCGCTGTCTCTCTCGCACCCTTATGGGGAGCTCCTTCAGTGCGACAGAGACAGAGCGACGAAACGAGCCTTCTGAATCGGCCGGCTGCTGTCGCTGTCCAACCCTCCTCCGGCCTGCTGACGGCGTGACCGCGCCGACGCCCGCCGGATCCCTTCCCCACCAGCAAACTGATTCCGAGAGTCGTTTTCGTCGCTCTGCCTCTCTCGCACCCATACGGGACGCGCCATGAGTGCGAGAGAGGCAGAGCGACGAAAACGACTCTCGGAATCAGTCCGCAGTCGCCCCTTTTTGGGGGGTTCCCGGTTCGAGCCCACCCGATTCCCGCGCGCGTCTTTCGTCCTTCATGCCATGCGATCCCCTTTAGGGAGTTAGACCCAGGAAAATGGGCCGCCCCGCCGCCGTTCAGTCGCGTGTGGGAGAGCGGGCCGCCGGACTGTGGCACGGTGACCCTGTTCGGCGCCCCCCCCTCTCTCTCTCTCTCTCTCTCCCTCTCCCTCTCTCTCTCTCCCTCTCTTACTGTGTGTGTGTGTGTGTGTGTGTGTGTGTGTGTGCCGAAAAGCCGGCAGGCACAGTGGCACAGCCCTTCCCTGCCAAAAGCGACACGTTGAATTATTCGTCGAAAGGCCACCGCATTCACAAAGGAGCCCTTCGAGGCTTGCCACCATGGTGCGCCACGCCGGGCCACGCCGCGCCACGCCACACCAGGCCACCCCCGCAGCAATCGACCGGAGGACACTTAGCGGGGCAAACTTTGGATCACACCTCAATGTGGGACACGTTCCGCTGACAGGCTCGGCGGCCTCGGCGTCGCCAGTGGGCCAGAAGACCGGCGCCGGCGGCCAAACCTCTAGGCGTCGTGTTTTGAGCTCCAGAGTCGCTAAACAGGACTCGAACCAAACGTCGCGACTCCTCCAATGAATTCTTTGTTCGGAGGGCAATCCATTGTTGGGCTCACACGTTCGGTTCGAGTCCCATTCAGCGACTCTGGAGCTCAAAACCAGTCATGGATTTCGACCACCTCCACCGGTCTTCTGGCCCAGTGTGCGCCACCCTTCCGTGCCGTCTTTGTTTCAAAAAAGCTCGGCGTCGATGAAAATTAATTGCGCGCTCTCGGTTCGGCTCGGGTTCGATTCACGGTTTCGGTTGTTCTGATCTTGTTTTTGTCGGGCTGCTCCTGCTCCGCTGGTGCACTGTACGTCGCACGGCAGCGCGGCGTGGTGGATTAGCTTCGCCAACCGCGTTGACGATGAGGTGGCGGGCGGGTGGCAGCGGATGGGGGCGCGCGGTCGAGTTGGTCTGAACTAAACTTCTTTTAACAACATCCCGTCGTTGCGCCTCCAAGGCAAGCGGCACTTCCCCGTCCGCACCTCCTCGGGGAGTCTCCGTGTCTCTTCGCCTCTTCGCCTCGTCGTCGTCCGCGACACTGTTTAAAGGACTAACGAGGCGTGCAGGGGCGAGAGGCGGAAGTGTACGGGAGGTGTGTGAAATCCAGGCAGCCTCAAGGCAGCCTCCTTCTCTTGAGTCGAGACTCAATCGATTCATCCCATCCCATCCCTGTGACGCAGGGTCGAGCCGAGCCGAGCCGAGCCGAGCCGCGCCGAGCCGAGCCGAGCCGAGCCGAGCCGAGCCGAGCCGAGCCGAGCCGAGCCGAGCCGAGCCGAGCCGAGCCGAGCCGAGCCGGGCAGCCCGCCCCAGGTTTGCATGGGGGCACGGCGAGCCCCCTGCCGTGCGTGCGTGCGTGAGGGGTGGTTGCCGCACGCGGGCTGGGGCTGCGTGGGCTGCGGCTCTGGGGCTCGTACAGTACAGCGTTGCCACATTAACAGGAGTCTCCAGGTCGGCCGCCGGCCGTGCCTCCGCGCGGGGAGCCGATGCAGACCGAAATGAAAATCGTGATTTCTCGCAAACGGCTGGCCCAAAAAATTTCAAACTTGGTACAGAGACTAGGAATAGACCAGGCCCGCCTCCGGTCCGGTCAAATCCGGTCCGACATTGCCTGTTTGCCTAATGGCGTGATCGGCTCGAAAAACGGAGACCGCCGTATCTCGGCTCCTGGGTACGATATCGAAAATCGGGCTTCTCGGCGTTGTAGTCCAACTCGTTCCCAGCCGCCTCTCCAAATTTCAAGTCAAAATCCTGAACGGTGTGGCCGTAATTTGGGAAACGCCGAGACGAAAAACGCGACTTTTCGGCGACTGGCGTGGCGAAGGCAGGCTGGAGGCAGGCAAACAGGCCTGATCAAGGGACCGGCCCCCGAAGTGCCCCCGCCACACCTCCCCGCCCCGCCCGCCCTGCACTGCACTGCCAGACTGCCATTGTAATGCGCCCGGCCGTCTGGGGCTCGCGCCTGCCTGGCTCCCGGGGGTGCATCCACGCTACCTGCTCTAGCAGTGTCTCCGTCGCACTTGCAGTGACAGACGGCACAGACAAAGAAAGTAGCTGTCGACGTCTGGGATGGCTATGCGGACGCCATTTTTGGGCTCCGGCGAAGAGGCGCGGTGCGGGCCCAGCCGATTCCGAGCCAGCCGGCGGCAAGGCAGAAAAGTTCATCAGAAACTGGCTCAAAATGACACGTTTTTCAACATTGGTCCCAATATGCTTTTCGAAGCGCGCTGATAAATTCTATACCCATGAAATTTTAAATGATTTATTGTCAAAATTGTCCTAGCAATTTCTCGTTTACACGCAACTTCCTAGTTTTTCGAGCTGATTCCGCCCCCATCCGTAAAATATCAACTTTCCGAAAATTTAAAAATTTTACATCCGCTCCAAACCCCTTTTTGTTTGGCGATGGCAATATACCTGCTCGAGGGCGGAGCCAGGCATGTGGCCCGCCTGCCCACCCCAAACCCAGCCCATTCAGGCCAAACAAAAGGGATTTGGAGCGGATGAAAAATTTTGAAATTTCGGAAAGTTGATTTTACGGATGGTGGCGGAATCAGCTCGAAAACTAGGAAGTTGCGTGTAAACGAAAAATTGCTAGGACAATTTTGACAAAAAATCATTTAAAAATTTTCATGGGTATAGAATTGATCAGCGCGCTTCGAAACGCATATTGGTACCAATGTTGAAAAACGTGTCATTTTGAGCCAGTTTCTGATGAACTTTTCTGCCTTGCCGCCGGCTGGCTCGGAATCGGCTGGGACCGCACCGCGCCTCCTCGCCGGAGCCAAAGGTGGCCGTCCGCACAGCCATCCCAGACGTCGACAGCTACTTTCTTTGTCTGTGCCGTCTGTCACTGCAAGTGCGACGGAGACACTGCTAGAGCAGGTAGCGTGGATGCACCCCGGCAGCCAGGCAGGCGCGAGCCCCAGACGGCCGGGCGCATTACAATGGCAGTCTGGCAGTGCAGTGCAGGGCGGGCGGGGCGGGGGAGGTGTGGCGGGGGCACTTCGGGGGCCGGTCCCTTGATCAGGCCTGTTTGCCTGCCTCCAGCCTGCCTTCGCCACGCCAGTCGCCGAAAAGTCGCGTTTTTCGTCTCGGCGTTTCCCAAAATTTCGGCCACACCGTTCAGGATTTTGACTTAAATTTGGAGAGGCGGCTGGGAAAGAGTTGGACTACAACGCCGAGAAGCCCGATTTTCGATATCGTACCCAGGAGCCGAGATACGGCGGTCTCCGTTTTTCGAGCCGATCACGCCATTAGGCAAACAGGCAATGTCGGACCGGATTTGACCCGACCGGGGGCGGGCCTGGTCTATTCCTAGTCTCTGTACCAAGTTTGAAATTTTTTGGCCAAGCCGTTTTCGAGAAATTGCGATTTTCGTTTCGGTCTGCATCGGCTCCGCGCGCCGAGGCACGGCCGGCGCCCGACCTGGAGTCTCCTGTTAAGCCGTTTGCCATTTCCACGACTCGCAGCCTCACCACCTGTCTCTCTCTCTCTGTCGCAGTGTGTGCGTGAAGAAGGAGGAGCCCTCCGGGTCCGAGCCCTCCAGCCCACTGGAAGCGCTCAGCCCGCCCAGCCTGGCGTCCAAAAACGGTAAGTCTCTTCTCCTTCTTCCTCTAGCCTCGCCAAGCGGACAGCAGACTGATGCCGAGAGTCGTTTCCGTCGCTCTGTCTCCCTCGCACCCATACGGGACGCCCCATGAGTGCGAGAGAGGCAGGGCGACGAAAACGACTCTCGGAGTCGGCCGGCAGGACAGGCCGTCGTCCAGCACCCCGTGCACGGCGTGCCGCTGATGACGTGCATTGCAATTTCCGCCGCGCTGCGTGGCGCTGCCGCCCCGT